TGTGCTTTGGTGTGGTATGGTGTGGTATGGTGTGGTATGGTGTGGTATGGTATGGTATGGTATGGTGTGGTATGGTGTGGTATGTCATGGATGTATGTATGTATGTCTGTCTGTCTGTATGTATGTCTGTATGTAATGTATGTATGTATGTACTGTATGTAATGTAATGTATGTAATGTATGTAATGTATGCATGCATGCATGCATACATGCATGCATGCATTGCATTGCATTGCATTGCATTGCATTGTATTGTATTGTATTGTATTGTATGTATGTATGTATGCATGCATGCATGCATGTATGTATGTATGTAATGTATGTAATGTATGTAATGTATGTAATGTATGTATGTAATGTATGTAATGTATGTAATGTATGTAATGTATGTAATGTATGTAATGTATGTAATGTATGTAATGTATGTAATGTATGGAATGTATGTAATGTATGGAATGTATGTAATGTATGTAATGTATGTAATGTATGTAACGTATGTATATAATGTATGGTATCTATGGTATGTATGGTATGTATGCAATGTATGGTATGTATGGTATGTATGCAATGTATCTAATGTATGCAATGTATGTAATGTATGTAATGTGTGTAACGTATGTAATGTATGTAATGTATGTAATGTATGTAATGTATGTAATGTATGTAATGTATGTAATGTATGTAATGTATGTAATGTATCTAATGTATCTAATAATGAATTGTATTGTATGTAATGTATGTAATGTATGTAATGTATGTAATGTATGTAATGTATGTAATGTATGGAATGTATGTAATGTATGTATGCAATGTATGTAATGTATGTCATGTATGCAATGTATGCAATGTATGCAATGTATGCAATGTATGCAATATATGTAATGTATGTAATGTATGTAATGTATGTAATGTATGTAATGTATGTAATGTATGTAATGTATGTAATGTGTCTAATGTAACTAATGTATGTAATGCATGTAATGTATGTAATGTATGTAATGTATGTAATGTATGTCATGTATGTAATGTATGTAATGTATGTAATGTATGTAATGTCTGTAATGTGTGTAATGTGTGAAATGTATGTATTGTATGTAATGTATGTAATGTATGTAATGTATGCAATGTATGTAATGTATGTAATGCATGCATGCATGCATGTATGTATGTACTTACGTACGTATGTACGTATGTCTGTATGCGTGTATGCGTGTATGCGTGTGTGCGTGTGTGCGTGTGTGTGCGTGTGTGCGTGTGCGCGTGTGTGCGTGTGTGTGTGTGTGTGTGCTTTTTGATGTACTTCTATGTGTATATGTCATGCGACATCAATATTGACACCAATATCGACATTAGCGTATCGACATCAATATCGACATTAGCGTCAAGAACAATATTACGATCGATATGGGTACAGATATTGTGTATTGATATGTGCTTATTAATTTAGTTGGTTATTTGTTCAAAAGAAATACTCCTGTCTAGTGTGCTGCGTCACTTTATGGAAACTTCCCGGAAACCATGGAGAATCATGGGGATCAAAAAGGTCCTCAGTAAACTCATCTTCCAAACCTATGTCTTGTGGTTCCATGTCGTCTGGTTGGTGGTTTCAACATGTTTCAAACCCTCTGAAAATATTAGTCAGTTGGAGTTCCAAACCACCAACCAGCGTTCAGTGTTTTAAAGAAAATGGATCTTGTTTTGGATGGAAAGACTCCCTCGGAAACCTCCGGAAACCGTGCCTTCAAAAAGTCCTCATGAAGGATCTCAAACCTGGCTCCAACGGCAGCAGGGCAGGGCCATGGGCCGGGCCTTTCCTCGCAGAAAAATCGGGCCCGGGGCACTCTTGCGTCCTTTGCTTGGCGGTCAACGTGTGGCCTTTGATGTGATTCTCGCTACCTCAGAAGTTGGAGGTATCCAACAGTCAATGGGTTGGTATGGGTCAATTTGAAAAACTACCTCCAAATATACAGAATTTCCAGCAATATTCCCATTAATCCCCATTCTAGATGATTTCCCCATCAAAACCACACCGAATTTCACAGGCTGAAAACGAGGCTCTGGCAATCGGCCAGGCGCCAGATAGTTACACTTTCTTTGGCTGAGGTTGTCTTTTGCTGGTCCTAAACGCGATCTTGATTGGGCCATGCAACTTTTCAATATGCAAAAGTTGAACCCGTTCAACTGCCAAAACTGTGAGATAAGTGAGGCTGTTTCTCTCGGATCTCAGTATATGAGTGTGTCTGGAAATGAGGGTATATCTCCAGATTCCAAATATCGCCATTTCATCGGGAAATGATGATGAACCATTGGCTTTAGGACTTTAGGGGCTTCAGGGCTACATAGCGGCTACACACTGGCTATCTCAGACAAAGCCATGTGGAGAACTTCTCTGAGTGCAGCGGCCAACACCAAATACCGTGAATATCGAGAAGTTCCTTTGACCTGGTCAAGCGAGAGCATTGGCGTCTGCCGGTCTTCGAGGTCTTCGGTCCGCTGGGTGCCGGGCCCACTCGACGTAACAAGGGAAAAATTCGCCTAGGTGTCACAAGCGCCCAAGCTGGACCTGAACTATAAGAAGTAATTGTCCAAAATGAAAACCCTCAAACATCCTTAGACACCAAAATGAATAGATTTTCAACACCAAAACCATGCGTTTCATCAAAATGCTTTGTCTGCTTCCTGGCCAACACGAGTATAGCTAACCCTTTTCGAAACGAAATAACAAAACGATCAAATACTCGAATAATTACGAAGGTCCTTGCTCCCAGAAAAATGCCTCTGGGCTGGCCGCGCATTTCCAAAGGTCATCGAGGCTCTTCAGTTCCTCCTCCACCCCAGGGGTTTGCACCTTCAAGCGGTAAATCCCGAGCCTCGGAACCAGGGGGTCATGGCCAGGTTCGCCCCGTTGGAACTGAACACATGTTTTTTTGATGTTTTTTGTAGTTCAATGATGTTCAATGATTCACGGTTGAATTCCATTGCCATGTGAAAAAAATACCATAGAGTAGCTGAACACGCCCCTGGTGCAAGGAGTGTCTTGCCGGAAATCTGGGAAAAAAGTGGATACTTTTAAGAAACTCTGACCCTGGATGTGAAATAATACCCTCCAGATCCCTCTGCTAATTTAACATAGCTATGGAAATGGAAAATGCCCCGTGTGTAGATGAATTGCTTATTTGCCTAGTACAGTAAAGTGATGTAAAATCGTGGTCTCCATAGGTATGTAAACGTCTAATAAAGGGCTTCAATTTTCTCAAACGCCGCTGGAGTTTCACCTGGGCCTCCGTGCTTCCACTCATGCAGCTCCTGGCGACTTCACGGAAATCGACACCGAATGGCGTCCTGGTGGTATAGCCATATCCTGCGAATTGGGATACGCTACAACCAATACCCTCTGGTAATTTAACATAGCTATTGAAAATTGTGATTTATAGTGGATTTTCCCATTAAAAATGATGATTTTCCATGGCTATGTTAAATTACCAGAGGGTAATTGATAACCTCAGCAGCCCCAAAATGTCCCAGACACCTTGCGGTTTTGACCTATCCTTTGCATGAGAGGGTCTAATCCACCGAGTGTATTCATCTGGGGGAAAAGGCAAGAAAGAACAATGAAAATTGAAGTAGTCAGAGTGATGTGGATGAGTGGGTCTGACCATGAATTCATAAATGCATCATTGGTAGGAACCGCTTCCTCAAGCAGTGATTCAAGATTGTGCGGCTCCGATTTGGAACTGCGCCCTACTGAGGAACTCGTTCATAACCACTATGTAAAATATTGATGCCCGGCCATAATTGGAATATGTACCCCCGGTTATATGATGTTATATGGTGGTTTCAATCCAGTTACACTAAGCGAGCCTTTTGGCAGGGTGAGTTTTGTTGCACATCGTGCGTCCCTTTAGGGATGCAACATACGTGCGCCTTGATAACTGTGAGACACTGACGTCTGTACCTTGGGGCGTCTTCTATTCTGCAGGGTTGTGGTAAAATGATGTTTAAATGTATGAAAATGCACAATCTGATCCATTTTGGGATGATTTTGACATCCCAAATAATGCTTGGGCGATGGGGATTCCCATACATATATATATATATATCTGTGTGTGTGTATGTGTGCGTGTGTATTCTAGATATAGTTCATCTAATGGATTATGATGAAGATTAACATCCCAAATACATTATATATATATACAGTATATATATATATGTGTGTGTGTGTTTATAGTGTGTGTGTGGGTAGCAACCCCCCAAATCGTCGGCCTACGGGGAATTCCCTTAGACATTTCACCACCCCTGCTCTGGCTAAAAAGAAAGCGCAGAGGCAGCACCACTGTCTTAACAGACGGAGCTGGCACAAGCAAATTCCTCAGACTGCTTTCAAAAGGATATTTGATATTTCCAAAAAGAGTTCCGATAGCTCAAAAATATTGACCCGCATTTTGAGGTTGCTCAATGCACCTCGTATAGTAACTATATACTGTTACAGTACATTTAAATACACTTATATAAAATAAATTAAAATAAATACATCTGTATAAATACTACAATGGCAGGTCCGTTTACACCCCGTTTTTGAGCCATACCGGGCCATGCCGGAAGAAATAGCTACAGCCGGATATCCAGACTCTTCGTGTCTCCGGGCCAGGAAGAACCCTGGAGAACGGAATCCCAGACCGACAGTGTCTTGGCCTACAAAATGCCTAAGCTGCCTGGGGTGCTTTGGAACTCAGAAAGCTTTTTGATATGAGATGTTCTGCTCGGATATGGGTCCGAATTGGTTCCCCCAGACTTGGGTTGTAAAAAATAGACACGTTAAGACATGTTAAGACCAGCCTGTAATCGGCGAATCGTCATCCTGGATCAATTTCGACCCCGAGTTGTTGCGTTTATTTCGCAGGCCAAGTGGTTCCGATTTTCGCAGTATTGTACGCAGGACCGGTGTCTGCCACAAGCTTAACACTCGTTCAGTGAAGGCAATTCAAGCGAAGGGTCAACACCTTAGCCTCTATACTGCGTATCCACTGGCTCTGGTGTGCCGTTTTCGGGGGTATGAGCCTTTGGGCTATGCGCAAAAGTTTCCAGGACGCCTTTCATATCCTTGCCAGGGGCCATGGACAAGCCCTTGATGTAGTTGCGGAGGTCCTGAACGCAGTCAACCACCAGCCGCTTGGCACACGGAGGCAACTTGTTTTGACATCTGGCTGTGGCTCAAATCATTAACCCAAGAATTAGCGATGCTTTCGGGCTAACAAGGAGGCTCAATGGAACCCGGCTTTGGGCTCTACCCAATTCTTATCTGGCCCCTGGATCTGGATAAAGCAGCAACATGCACCAACCGCAAAACGGAGACGTGAGAGGTGTCCTTGTCACTGATCGCTGCATCGTTCTTTCTCCTGCATTTCTCAAAGAGCTGTTCTGCTTGAGATTTGGTCAAGTGCCCACCCAGAACAAGTTCACTCATGGTGAGGTCGCCGCTCCCATCCGCATCAATGAATTTGAACCTCAAACAGCCAACCCGGCCGGGGACGTGTCAGCGCACATGGCAGGAAAAAACTTGAACCACCACAGAACTACTCGGAAAAAAAACGTCACTGTTCAATCCAAACCTGGGATTTCAATGTGTTTCAAAATTATATATATATATATGTGTGTGTGTGCATAATCAATCCATAAATATCTACCTACCTACCTACCTAGCTAGCTAGCTAGCTATCTATCTATCTATTTATCTATCCATTAATCTATTTCAATCTTTAGTGTCTTTTCATTTAGTATTCCCAAAAACTGATAACAATCCCGGTTCCTTGGCCTCGCAAACAGATTATAAGTCCAAGTGGCAGGACCTCAAGTTCACTCTCGCTGACCGCAATGGCGTCGCTGCTGAGGAGAGTTTTCAACACCTCCAACGCACGGAACACATTACACCACGAGATGATGCATTCGATGTTCGTCGGGTTCAGGGTGGAAAAGCCTCAGTTGAAAAACGACTGGCGAAATAAGGCATGGCTGCGAAGCACCTTTTGCGAGCTGAAGCTATAAGGTTCCCTAGCTTCCCCAGAGAATGAACATTAAAACGGACCCGGTTTTCAGCCAGGACACTCAAACAAAGAAAGGCTCGTAAGGTCATGGGACACGGCTGAAGCCATTCTAGTCTGTGTCTTACCTGGCAGGTGCTGCCGCGTGTTACTGCACTCGGTACTGGCTATGTTTGATGGTGGGCAGGTTGAAAATATTGAAAAATAATGGAAAACTCCATGTTGAGTAACTACGAATACGCGCACACATTGTCGTCTGCCAAAGATTTCAAAGCATGCCGCATGCCAGAATCATGTTCCCACAGCAAGAAACATGTTTGATGTGGTGTGCAAAAGCCAACGTGGAGCATCATGCGTTCCGCAGAACAATAAAATTAAAGCTTAAATAAAGCACAAGACCATGCGAGCTGCTCCTCGACTGACTGACACCAGCGGTTTGTGTCGTTACGTGTCTGGTTGAAGTTGAAATTCAAATGTTGAACTGTTGAACAATACAAAGTAAATAATGATCAATCATGTTCAAGAATGTTCAAGATACCTACTGTATCACCACCATTTATGTTGGAAGGTCCAGACATCTTTGCGATACATCTCACCACCATAAACCCTTGAGATGTTGATGTGGATGCGGACGATGATATCACTTCCGGGTCCGAGCAAAAATTGCCGTATGGTCGCACAAATTCTATATTTCCATATATGTCCCTTTATTCATGTTTCTCCACAATAATGTTGCAAGCTCTTCTTTCCCCAGGCCCACCATGGAATCCCCGTCATCTTGCCTGGGGATCCAGCAAAATCCGCTGAAAATGTGTAGACAAGGTCTCGACTTCAGCGGCAAAATCGGTGCCGCTCAGCGCCAGCGGTGCAGTGTGCGAGGTGGGCCCGCTGCTGGGGCTGCTGGGTCTGGCGGAAGACTGCGCGGCTGTGGTGCTGCTGGGGCTGCTGGGCCGGGCAGAGAGGCTGCTTCGGGCCGCCTCGAGAAGATGAAGAGAAGTTTCCGTCTCCGAGTCCTCCTTGGTGGCGTGCTCGCAATGGCTGCAGATGATGCAGATGATTGTAGATGGCTATAAAGGCTGTAGTCTCTATAATATAGTATATATATATATATCATATATATATATATATATTAATATAGTATATATATATGTTAATATAATATATATATATATATATATTTCTATATTTATATTTATATTTATACTGCAATAGACACAGGATTGTAGGTAGTTATCATCTAATATCATCTATGCTGTCCAGAATCATAGGCTGAATCCTCTATATATATATATAAAGATTATTAAGGTATAATAATAATCAAATCTAATATTATGCCCAAAACCCTAACCCCACTCAAAATTGGAATTCCCTTCAACGTTACAAAGGAAGCTGGGTTCCAGAGCGATTCTACAAGTAGGGGGTCTTCATATGTTAATTTTTTTGTTTCATATAATATATAATTCTCCCCTGGAAAGCCAAAAACACATTTTTTTCTGATCATTATGGGAAAAAGCCGCAACGATAAGTTTTTTGGTAAAATATTGGTTTTACCCGTAATGACCCAAAAGAATGGTCAAATCCAAAGAACCTGTGCAGTCCTACTCGTAGCAAAACCGTATTTTTGTCGACATTTTATTTAGAAAAAGGGAAAAAAAAAACGTGGCAGCTCTCACACAAGCCTACGTGTAGCTAAACCGTGTTTTTGTTCGACATTTTGTTGAAAAAAGACCGTAAAAAGCCGTAGCAACTCTCACACAAGTGGCTCCAGAGGAGCAAAGCCGTAATGACCAAACAAAAAATGGTCAAGGCCGTTTGACCAAAAAAAAAAAGTTTTCCAGGATTATACAATGATCTTCGGGGGGTGAGATTCCATAATGCACAACAAGTTTGGCCAGGCATCCATCGTATCCTTGAGCTCCTTGGCATCCTTGAGCTCCTTGGCATCCTTGAGCTCGTTGGCATCCTTGGAGCAGTGCCGTTCGTCTTCTTTGTCTTTGTACGGTTCATCCGATCTGGCCATGCTAGCGATGCGGAGGAACTCCTTCTTCACGGCAATCTGATCCCGCAGGAAGTCCAACACGAGATCGAGGTCGGCATCCGAATTGTGTCCACTCCTGCGGAGCGACAACAGCACTCCCACAGGACCCCCCGGAAACTGCCCCCAGGTGGGATGAATATGTTTCCCAGCTGCCAAATCACCCAGCTTCCAGCTTCGGAAAATCGCGCGTGATCACAGGCCGAGGGGCAAGTGATGAAAGAATTTCCACAGCATCCAAGCTTGTGCCTTTGAGACATCTGGTGGCATCGACCAGACCTGCAACAACATGCCGAGTCTGGTGACACAGCGATTTCGCTGCGGGCTAAAGTTGGGTAAAGATTCAGTTTTACAGCATACGAAGCTCCAGTTTGGGATGTTTTTGGATATTTGGGCGAGACTGCGGGAGAATCCTGCGGGATCTACGAAAATTGCCACAGGACCCCCCTCAGGCGCACCCGAGCTGGCCGAAGAGAACTAGATCGTTTCCTGCGAAGGGATGACTCAGCCAGTTGCAAAAGGTCACTTGGAACAGCAAATACCCTCCGGTAATTTAACATAGCTATTGAAAATGGCCATTTATAGTGAGTTTTCCCATTAAAAATGGTGATTTCCAATAGCTATGTTAGTTTACCAGAGGGTACATAGTAGTGACAGTCAGTGACAGTGGTGTCTGGGCTATTCACCTGTGGATCATTACTATTCATTACTACATCGTCGTCGGGATTGCCATCCCATGGCGAACAAGGCAACGCGTTCGTGAAGCTCCTGCCAGTGAGCTTTGCGTAAGCAACACTGCCGCACCAGGTTCCTAGCCAAGAAACCAGCTTGGGGCCACATCCACCGGTTTCTTGTCCAACAAACCAAGGTTTCTAGCATGGCATTCAGTAAGTGTTGGAAAAGTTGTCATAATCATAATTCACCAACCTGAAGAGTTTGGCCACTTGTGGATAGTTCACCAATCCAAGTCCGATCATTTGTGAAGTCGTTGTTATTTGTCTAGAAATGTTTGGGGAAGGCGGGATGCCAAAGATCTCAGTTCCTGCACCCCACTTTCCACAGATCAACCTCTCACAGTCCCCACTTTGTTCCATGAATCAGGCAGGCATAAACTTTAAACCTTTGTGCTCGCATCCATGGGTCTGATGTTGTACGAACGAAGGCATTTGCGTATTCACAGATCTAGGCCTAGACACATCACAACAATATTTGACAATAATTCACAATATTCAGTTGTTTCTTTACAGCAAGTATATTCATGTCCCATCATCATGCCAAAAAATCCCATTTTGCCCATCCCCCAGCCCCATCCCGTCCTGACTCCGCGGGGCCCGGTCTGGGCCTCCGCCCCGCCCCGCTGTTCGTGCTCCTCCTCCTCGCCGTGCGCGCGCTCATGGGCACCGGCGGTTCGTCGGGCACCTCGAGGGACAGACGCTTTCGGACCGGCTCCTCCCGCAGCGAGAAGCGCTTCACCACCGGCTCAGCGATGGAAGCCGATTTGCCCAAGGAAAGCTCGTCACTGGGGGCGTCACCTGGGAGTTTCCAATTGGAGAGGGAAATTCGACGAATTTCTGGCAGTTCTTCGAGATTCTGAAGGGGAAGTTTGCAATTGCGTTTGATGGGTTTTGAGGGAAAAATTTGACGGGGAAATGAGAAGACCAAAAAGTTATACAGTACAAGTATGCGTCAGTTGGGACATGAGTTGGCGATCGAACGTGCTTGTTTGGATTCCATGTGAGTTTCAAGGTGGGAGGACCCTGCCTGAGCGTGGGTGGCTGGCCACTCGGCGTTGGAAAGGCACCGAATCTTCAAAAATGCCTGGTTGGGCTGGTTGGGTCGCTTGGGGCTCCTGATTCCAGCTTCGGAAGCTGAAATTCAGAGCTTCACAAAAAGAAAATAACATATAGATACATATGGTATAGTTTTAAGGAATCCCCATTCGTAAACTAGTGGTTTATGAATTGCGGGTTGGCATGAACTGGAATGATATAAAATGCTGATCCTGGGTTCCTATTAAAATACCCTGTTTGCGACTATGGCTGCGATCATGGCTACAAATAGTACCCAGGCAAGCCGGGGGCGGAAGTTTCAAAAATGAAAAGGCCTAAAGCCTTTAGAGCAAAAACAAACTGTGCCTATAGGATGTGGGGCAGCACCCTGCGCTTTGCCGCAGCAATCTCTTGACAGTTCACTCCTCTGACATCCCTTTTCACGTTCCATCTCGTCTCATTCCATCTGAACTAATGTCACCTGAGCTCATCTCAACTCTTCTCAATTGATCACAACTGTTCTCACACCTTCTCATGTCACCTAAGCTTTCTCATCTCTTCTCACCTCATCTGAATTCTTCTCGTTTCAGCTCCTCTCAGCCTCTCAGTTTCTCCATTCTACGCAGCTCGTCTCAACGCAGCTCTTCTCAGCTCTTCACCACCTTCTCATGTCAGGTCGTCTCAACTCATCCCATGTCATCTCACCTCAGGTTATCTCACCTCTTCTCGGATTGTCTCATCTCTTCTCAACTCTGCCTCAGCTCTTCGCAGCTCATGTCAGCACATGTCATGTCTTCTCATGTCTTCTCATCTCTTCCCCCCTCAGTCCTCAGCTCTTCTGAGTTGTTCTCAGATCTTCTCAGTTCATCTCACCTCCTCTCAGCCTCTCACCTCGTGTCAGCTCTTCTCACCTCATCTCAGCTCTTCTCAGCTCCCTTTCACTCTCAGATCATCTCAACTCTTCTCTGGCCCAAAAAACCTGCTCCAAAACCGAAGCCCGGCGCCAAGGCCCAAAAAGTACGATTTTGAAGTTTAAGAAAAAGGAATATGAAAGGCTCCAAAAACGAGAAAAATCTGCAAAGACTCATTGCCGCAACCTTTTGGCGCAATTGAACAGCAACTTCCACTTGTGAAAACGAAGCTGCAAGACTTCCTTCAATTCTGGAAGTTGAAGTTGTGAAAACCAAGTTTTTGCGCGAGACCTCACTCACAAACTGAAAGCTGAGGTTGTGAAAACGAAGCTTTCGTGCGAGGCATCCCTCAAAAACTGAAAGTTGAGCTTGTGAAAAGAAAGCTTTCGTGCGAGACATCCCTCAAAAACTGAAAGTTGAGCCCGTGAAAACGAAGCTTTCGTGCGAGACATCCCTCAAAAACTGAATCTGAAAGTTGAGGTTGGTGAGAACGAGGCTTTCGTACGAGACATCCCTCAAAAACTGAAAGTTGAGCTCGTGAAAACGAAGCTTTCGTGCGAGACATCCCTCAAAAACTGAAAGTTGAGGTTGTGAGAACGAGGCTTTCGTACGAGACATCCCTCAAAAACTGAAAGTTGAGCTCGTGAAAACGAAGCTTTCGTGCGAGACATCCCTCAAAAACTGAAAGTTGAGGTTGTGAGAACGAGGCTTTCGTACGAGACATCCCTCAAAAACTGAAAGTTGAAGCTTTGAAAACGAACCCTTCGTTCGAGACATCCTTCAAAACTACAACTCTTTAAAGTTGCGCAAATGAAGCCTGAACCGATAGTTCCAATGTGTGGCCGATTCAGAATGATCCGAGCAAAGCCGAGACCGTCTCGCACCCGTCGCGCGGCAGACCTTCCCCATCCATTTTCCGAGGCACGTTTTTTGCTGCAAAACAGACGATTTCGCGCGTCTGCTACCTCTCAAAAGCGCATTTTGCGCGAGACATCCCTCAAAAACTGCAAATTGAAAATCTTAGCTCAACCAGCTCATCTCAGCTCACCTCAGCGCATCTCAGCTCATCTCAGCTCACCTCAGTGCATCTCAGCTCATCTCAGCGCATCTCAGCGCATCTCAGCTCATCTCAGCTCATCTCAGCGCATCTCAGCGCACCTCAGCTCATCTCAGCGCATCTCGGCGCATCTCGGCTCACTCAGCTCATCTCAGCTCACCTCAGCTCACCTCAGCTCATCTCAGCTCATCTCAGCTCATCTCAGCTCATCTCAGCTCATCTCAGCGCATCTCAGCTCATCTCAGCGCATCTCGGCTCACTCAGCTCATCTCAGCTCACCTCAGCTCACCTCAGCTCATCTCAGCTCATCTCAGCTCATCTCAGCGCATCTCAGCTCATCTCAGCTCATCTCAGCTCATCTCAGCTCATCTCAGCGCATCTCAGCTCACTCTCAGCTGGGAGAAGAATCAAAAAAATAACCTAAGGAATCAAAAAAAAGAAAGCTAAAGAGCTAAATGTGGAGAGGGCAAGATCAAACAAAAATATATTTGCTGCATTTTAGGGGCAAAAATCTGTAATTTGAAGAACCTGGTGGATTGTTCCTTGCTATTTGCTGCATTTCGAAACTACAATATGTATGTTGATGTATTTTGCTGCGTTTTGGAACTAAAATCTCTCATTCGCACTGTCCCGCGATTTTTCCAAGGTCTTCATCGATTTCTCGCTGATTTTCATTGTTTTTTTCCATGGGTGTTCATCGTTGTTTCCATGAGTTGCATCGACTTCTCGATGGTTTTCATCCATCGTTTCATGTTTTTCCCAGTGGTTTTAAACAGTTTTTCCATGGTTTTTATCGATTGATGTATGGACGGGAATAAATATGCATAAGTTTGTGTAAACCTGTGAAGGAATATGAGCATAAATATGTTAAAAAAGAAAACGTGTAAATGATTATGCGTATACAATTCTATACATATGTACGCATGTATGATACATAAGGTAGGATTAGAGCCTATTTTAGGGTTGGATTAGGGTTTATTTAGGGATACAATGCGTGCGTGCGTTCCTTTCTTCCATGCTTCCTTCCTTCCTTCCTTCTTTCCAGCTCATCTCAGCTCACTCTCAGCTCACCTCAGTTGTATTCACTGACTTTCCAATCTCTGTAAAACAGAAGTATCGACTTCTAAACTTCATTTGTTTATTATGATTTATGGTCATCATCATCATCATCATCACCATCATCATCATAATCATCATCAACCATCATCAATCATCATCATCATCATCATAATCATCATCATTGGTAGTCTTGCACTCCGATCATCAAACATGGCAATTGGAAATCCACGAACTAAGTGGAGGCTTATAGCTGGCAAAATCAATGAACTAAATTCATTTTCCAGCAAGCCACGCTTGAGGACACCGAATGGTAGCCATTAATCACAACTACTCACCATTATTGACCATGAATATTGGATTCGTATTAACCAATGTTAACCATTGTTGGTAGGGTAAACCCAATAATAATAAATCTCCAAAATCACCATGTGCATGGGTGGTATTTTCACTATCCCCAGTCATGGTAGGCTTAGCTGCGGTTGTCTTCGGTTGGCACCGTCTGCATCATCTCCTGCAAATCACCTCGAAGCACGAGCACGCCGGAAAATCACCATCGTTAAAGAACGGTAAATCATCGTAAATCATCTGTTAATACCAGATAATCTTTAACATGTTTCATCTGTTTAATGATAATTTTAATTATGTAAATCATCTGGTTATTCATCTGTTAATGGGCATGTCAAACATAGCTATGAATAACCAGAGGGCAATGTTAGAAGTGTGAGACGTCAAAATGAAAAGATCCAATAAACCAGAGTTTCAGATGGCTACCCTCTGGTAAACTTACAGTTTGCGAACTGGAAAATCACCATTTTGATAGGTAAAACATCTATACATGGGCCATTTTCCATAGTTTTTTGTATGTTTACCAGAGGGTATGTCTGATGGGGTGCAGCCCAGCATCGGTTTCGATAGGAGTAGACAATGAACTCGCCCAGGGTCAAAAAGCCGGATCTGTCGCAATCAATCCTGCCGTCTTGCCCTCCGGGAATCAAACGTGGCTAGATAGGCGAATCCCCCATTTTTGGGGAGATGTTCCAGCTTGGTTTTTTTGATGAAACTAGGGTAATTGTCATTTGATGCGGTTTTATAGATGTTGTTCTGTTGTTCATCGTTTTTCCGATGAAAACCCCATTTCTAGGGGATTTTCCCAGCTTGCCATGTTTGATTACCAGAGGGTACTGTCAATGTCACTCTTCCATGGAATTCCCTCAACGTCTGACATCTAGCTGCCGAGTGAAATGATAAATTCGAGCAAAACCCTTCCATTCAGCGGTAAAAAGTGCTATATATGCTTCCTGCCAATGTGTTCCTTTCCAATATCAAAAGAATCAAGGTAGCATTTCCCGACCACAATATTCGCAATCGGGAAAGGCACCAGCTTGGTTGGTCTACGATTTATTCTCATCTACCTATTGACCCAAATATCAACCATCAATTCGGCCAGCATCCTGCTATGGCTAATGGTTCATGGCATACATTGAACACCGAACAAATATAAAACATTTTAAAACAGTGTCTATACGTGTATAGTTATCAAAGGAAGTTGGGAAGCAATACTTCCGTGTTACGGACAAATAGAATTCTGAGATTTGAAATGATGAAGGGCGGTAGATCGTATAACAATACATATCAATTCAATACATAACAAAAGAAAAAGAAGCGGTGGAATTGACCTTGATGAAGGGTGCTGACAATGACGTGGTGAGGAAGGGAAGTGGTGAAGAAGGGAAGTGATGATAAAGGGGAGTGGTGAGGAAGGGAAGTGGTGAGGCAGGGAAGCGGTGACGATGGGAAGTGGTGAGGAAGGGAAGTGGTGAAGAAGGGAAGTGATGATGAAGGGGAGTGGTGAGGAAGGGAAGTGGTGAGGAAGGGAAGCGGTGACGAAGGCAAGTGGTGAGTTGGGGAGGAAGCCGGAGCACGAAACCTTGCGTTTTTCCGTGTAAAGTGGCTGCAGCCGGCGGTGAAAGGTACCTCGTGTGTGCGGCGGTTGCGGCTGCGGTCGTGGGGTTCCTTCTATGTGTTTTGCAACAATGGTTGTTCCTGTGTGCGTAGTTCTATGCGTTTCTTGAAGCTGTGGTTGCGGATCGCATTGGAATGGCTGCATGAATGTTGCATGGGCTTTGTTTTGGGGAGGAAGCCGGAGCACGAAACCTTGCGTTTTTCCGTGCAAAGTGGCTGCAGCCAGCGATGAAAGGTACCTCGTGTGTGCGGCGGTTGCGGCTGCGGTCGTTTGGTTCCTTCTATGTGTTTTGCAACAATGGTTGTTCCTGTGTGGGTAGTTCTATGCGTTTCTTGAAGCTGTGGTTGCGGATCGCATTGGAATGGGTGCATGAATGTTGCATGCTGTGTGTTGTGGGGAGGAAGCCGGAGCACGAAACCTTGTGTTTTTCCGTGTAAAGTGGCTGCAGCCGGCGATGAAAGGTACCTCGTGTGTGCGGCGGTTGCGGCTGCGGTCGTTTGGTTCCTTCTATGTGTTTTGCAACAATGGTTGTTCCTGTGTGCGTAGTTCTATGCGTTTCTTGAAGCTGTGGTTGCAGATCGCATTGGAATGGCTGCATGAATGTTGCGTGGGCTTTGTTTTGGGGAGGAAGCCGGAGCACGAAACCTTGTGTTTTTCCGTGTAAAGTGGCTGCAGCCGGCGATGAAAGGTACCTCGTGTGTGCGGCGGTTGCGGCTGCGGTCGTTTGGTTCCTTCTATGTGTTTTGCAACAATGGTTGTTCCTGTGTGCGTAGTTCTATGCGTTTCTTGAAGCTGTGGTTGCAGATCGCATTGGAATGGCTGCATGAATGTTGCATGGGCTATGTTTTGGGGAGGAAGCCGGAGCACGAAACCTTGTGTTTTTCCGTGTAAAGTGGCTGCAGCCGGCGATGAAGGTACCTCGTCTGTGCGGCGGGTGCGGCTGGGGTCGTTTCTGTCGCGAATTGTTCCTCCTATGTGTTTTGCAACGAGTGGTTGTTCCTGTGTGCGTAGTTCTATGCCGTTCTTGAAGCTGTGGTTGCAGATCGCATTGGAATGGCTGCATGAATGTTGCATGGGCTTTGTTTTGGGGAGGAAGCTGGAGCACGAAACCTTGCGTTTTTCCGTGTAAAGTGGCTGCAGCCGGCGATGAAAGGTACCTCGTGTGTGCGGCGGTTGCGGCTGTGGTCGTTTGGTTCCTTCTATGTGTTTTGCAACAGTGGTTGTTCCTGTGTGCGTAGTTCTATGCGTTTCTTGCTGTGGTTGCGGATCGCATTGGAATGGCTGCATGAATGTTGCATGCTGTGTGTTGTGGGGAGGAAGCCGGAGCACGAAATCTTATGCTTTTCCGTGTAAAAGTGGCTGCAGCCGGCGATGAAAGGTACCTCGTGTGTGCGGCGGTTGCGGCTGCGGTCGTTTGGTTCCTTCTATGTGTTTTGCAACAATGGTTGTTCCTGTGTGCGTAGTTCTATGCGTTTCTTGAAGCCGTGGTTGCAGATCGCATTGGAATGGCTGCGTCAAGGTTGCTTGATGCCGCGGCTGCATGCGTAATACCATCGTCTTTTGCAGCTGAAGATTGTTAATCGTATTGGAGTCGCTGCATCCAGGCTGCGATAGTGATTTGTCAGCAGCTTTTCTCAATTTTGGCGCTAGTAATTTTCCTTTTAAAAATCTTTTTACAGAGTGCTTCAAAATTATCTTTCTGTTGCTTTGGCGGCGAGATCCGGTTTTGGAGCTGCAATTTCCGACACCGTTGCGCGTAGTTCTATTGTGTTTTGCAACTCAGTCTCTGCAGATCGCATTGTAGTGGCTGCGTCAAGGTTGCTTGGTGCCGCGGCTGCATGCGTAATACTATTGTCTTTTGAAGCTGAAGATTGTAAATCGTATTCGAGTGGCTGCATCCAGGTTGCGATAGTGATTTGTCAGCAGATTTTCGAGATTTTGGCGATAGTAATTTTCCTTTTAAAAATCCTTTTAAAAAGTGCTTCAAAATCGTCTTTTTGTCGCTTTGGCGTCGAGACCCGTTTTTGGAGCTGCAATTTCCGACGCCTTTGTGCAAGCTTTGTAGTACAAAGTAGTACTGGGACGTGCTTTGTTTGTGCAAGCTTTGTAGTACAAAGTAGTACTGGGAAGTGCTTTGTGCAAAATAGTACTGGGAAGCGGTTTTTGCAAGCTTTTGTAGTAGACCTCAGTACTAGTACTTGACAATACTTGACATGAAAATAGCCAAGAAGAACTTAGCTGACATATGGGAAGACATGGAATGAGATGAAAAGAGCTCAGATGAGATGAGTTGAGATGAAGTGCAATTGTGAAGTGTGGAGTGTGGGGTGTGAAGAGCGCAATGTGAAGTGTGAGGAAAGTGTTTGCATTGTACCCGGGTCGCGCGCAGGTCATGTTCTTGGACAGCAACACTGCAACAGCTTTGCACAAAGCACGCACGCACGGGCCTGGCTGGCGTACGGCGCATGCAAGTTCCTTAGTAGTAGTACTGGGACGTGATTCATGAAAGCTTAGATGACATATGAGAAGAGATGAGATGAGCTGGGATAAGGTGAGAAGAGCTCAGATGAGATGAAGTGTGGAGTGTGAAGGGTGCAGTGTGAAGTGTGGGGCGTGAAGAGTGCAGTGTGAAGTGTGGAGTGTGAAGTGTGAAGTGTGGAGTGTGAAGTGTGAAGTGTGGAGTGTGAAGTGTGAAGTGCGGAGTGTGAAGTGTGAAGTGTGGACTGTGAAGTGTGAAGTGTGTTGTGTGAAGTGTGAAGTGTGGAGTGTGCAGTGGGTTGCGTGAAGTGTGGAGTGTGGAGTGTGGAGTGTGAAGTGTGGAGTGTGAAGCGTGAAGAGCGAAGAGGAGCTTCAAATGCGACATGTGAAACAGGACACCACTTTCGAAGAATGCATGCACGCACATGCTTGGCTGGCGCACGGCGCATGCAAGTTCTATAGATGAGAAAGGTTTTATATCTATCTTTAAGGCAACTTCCGCCCCGCCTCGTGCGGGTACTACTGGTATATACATATATATATATGTGTGTGTGTGTGTGCCACTATCTTTTAATGTTGTTCAACATGTTGATCATCATAATGCCATAATTTCTATCCACTTACCGTAGATCCCCATTGCCTCCCCACTGTCTGATATACTCATCCCAAGCCGTCCGAAGTCACAGATGACACACCATCAAAATCACAGGCGATGATCACCATTAAGCATCCAGGCTCCCATCAAGTACCACTAAATCACAATTAAACCATTAAAATCATTAAAAGCCCCTTAAAATCCCAATCAAAAACCCATTGAAAACCCATTGAATCCCAATCACAACCAGTTAAAACTACCAATTTAACCTGAGCAACCCCGATTAAAAACACATGAACATCATTGTTCTGGGAAAAAATGATAATTCAACAACCCGTGATAATGCCATTTGGGATGCGTACCCTCACCAGTCATCATTCCAGTGGCATTGCGTTCAAGTCGTTCTGATTGATCCAGATTACCCCCCTATATCCCCAGTATACCACCACTTTTGTTGGTGAAATATCATGTAAGAAACAATCTTTCATGGTAAACTCCCATTCAGCTTGATGAATCATAAATGATCACCAAGAAAAAGACACCATTCAGATGCTGTTGATGTGTTTATGCCCATGAAATAAATGCCCTTTAGGACTTAAGATCCTCATTCATGATCTTGATTAATTAATCCTCATTAACATCCCATGATCAACATCCCTAAAACAGTAACATCCCATTAACATCCCATCAGCATGAACATCCCCCGATGAATCCCATCTGGATGTTTCCTGAGTCATAGGGCTACCATGGGCTACCCCATTTCATCATCCATCTCAATAGAATTTTCCGGCGGAAATCAACCATCCAGCTACCTGCAGGTACCCCCAATTAGGAAACCCGCGGAAACCCTCATCAATGGGATATTCCCTTACATAGGCCTTATATAGGCCTTACAAATAGTAGGTACCTCCAATTTAGGTTCCTGAAATGGCCATTGACCTCATATGAATCACAGCCACCTAGCGAAACATTGGTCGATCGCCACTTCCAGCTCCGCATCCCCCGGCATGACGGCATCGGTATAGAAGAGTCGCAGGCCGTTCAGCAAGGAGCGCAACGCCACGGTGAACTCCTCCTGGGAGTTCAAGGCGCAGCACGAAAAGCCACCGGCCGGGGAGGAATTTGATTTATAATATATGACATGATTTGATTACCAGTAGTACCGCACAAGGCGGTGGCGGAAGTTTCAAAAATAGGAAACCTATAGGAGAGGTTGGTTGTTGTGAATCAGGGATGGCAGAGCGAAGCCACTGATGGACTGAAAGGTGCTTGATCTCTCTCACTCTTTTTCTCTCTTTCTCTCTTTTTCTCTCTGTTTCTCTATCTGACCCTATCTTTCTCTGATTATCTACCTACCTACCTACTGATCTATCTGTCTACCTATCTATCTGTCTGTCTGTCTATCTATCTCCCTATCTATCTATCTATCTATCTATCTATCTATCTATCTATCTATCTATCTATCTAGCTGTCTAGTTTTCTAGCTATTTGTCTATCTATCTATCTATCTATCTATCTACCTATCTATCTATCTATCCATCCATCTATCTCTCTCTCTCTATCTGTCTATCTATCTGTCTATCTATCTGTCTATCTATCTGTCTATCTGTCTATCTGTCTATCTGTCTATCTGTCTATCTATCTATCTATCTATCTATCTCTGTCTCTCTCTCTCTCTATCTCTATCTCTCTCTATCTCTCTTTTTCTCTCTTTCATCTGTCTATCTGTCTAGCTATCTACCTGTCTATCTGTCTATCTGTCTATCTGTCTATCTGTCTATCTGTCTATCTATCTATCTATCTATCTATCGATCTATCTATCTATCTGGGTATCTACCTGTCTATCTGTCTATCTGTCTGCGAGATCTATCTTCATTTTTCATCTATCTAGGGTTTAACTATTCTGCGAGACTTCTTCATTTTTCAAAGTTGACGACATCAAAAACGCAGCAATTCTGCGTGACTTCCTCATTTTTCAAAGTTGACAACATCAAAAACGAGGCAATTCTGCGAGACTTCTTCATTTTTCAATGTTGACGACATCCAAAACGAAGCAATTCTGCGAGACTTCCTCAGTTTTTTAACTTGAGAACATCCAAAACGAAGCAATTCTTTGAGACTTCTTCAATTTTTAAACTTGACAACAAAAACGAAGCAATTCTGCGAGACTTTTTTCAAAAATGGAAAGTTGAGTGCAGCGCTGACGGCCCCGTACCAATGCGTTGTGCGATTTTTCCACTCCACCTGTCGAAAGTACTGCGCCTGCCACGAAAAATAGATGCCAGGTCATACGAAGTGCTGCACCTGTCACGCAAAACCATCTTAGGAAATCGACATATCTAATGCTCCAAAATGCAACCCCTCTCAGGAAATCAGCGCCCTGACCTCCTAACATCTCTGATGAACACGTCTCTTGTACTGCGCCTGCCAGGCGAAATGCATCTTTGCAGATCCTCTTCAAATGTCCCACGCCTGCCATCGTTTTTGGACATGCGGCAAAACCCTCACGTTTTGCTTCTTGATACGGTGCACAATCCCTTGCGCCTGCCACGCGAAACGACATCTGAACCTCCAAAAATGGTCCGTACATGGTGTGCTTTGTGCATTTTGACTTGGAAATGTGCTTCGCGCCACAGTGGCGTGCACTTTTGCGACAGCTCAACTTCCAAAAGTGGTCCGAAGCTGGTGTGTTTTGTACATGTTCACTTCGAAATGTGCTTCGCGCCACAACGGCGTGCACTTTTTCGACATCTCAAGTGCCAAAAGTGGTCCGCACCTGGTGTGTTTTGTGCATTTTGACTTGGAGATGTGCTTCGCGCCACAACGGCGTGCACTTTTTCAACATCTCAACTTCCAAAAGTGGTCCGAACGTGGTTTTGTACATTTTGACTTCGAAATGTGCTTCGCGCCACAACGGCGTGCAATTTTTCATCTCTCCTCTGGCCAGCTGGCTCCGCACCCGCCGCTTTAGCGAGCCTACTTTTCGACCCTCCGGAGCCACAAATCATTGGAAAAACACAGTGAATCGCGACTTTCCTACCTTTTCGCGCATCTCCATGTTCTTTCTTCTTACTCTTTCTCTTCTACTCTTCTCTCTTCTGATCTTTCTCTTCTCTCTGCCTCTGCCCTGCTCTGCTTTTCATCTGTCCATATTGTCGGAAGTTTGACTTCTAAACTTCCTTCGATTATAAATGTAGAGTTGGCTTCATATGATTTGATTTTGATTTATGACAGCTAAATTGGCGGAAATAACTTTAACATACTTTAACTAGCCATCAAAAATATTGAAATAAATAGGTATCTAACTATGAAGAGCAGAGATTGGAGGAGGGCTTGGGGTGAAAGCATAATCATTCGATGTCGGCTCCAATAATTGCTATGACCCCTAGTGATGGGTTAATTTATTGGTTAATAATGACTAGACAAGTCAATCATTTTCGTTGATTATAATCAAAACAACTTATGATCATAATGTCACTTTATCAGCCCATCTATAATCATCTAACTATTAACCCATCTATAGCGGTTTTTTGTCATAGCCTTCGATGGGTCAACTTATGACCTTTGATGGGTCGCGGCAGCAGGCCGAGACTTGAGGCATTGAATTGAACTAAACTAGCTACCCTCTGGTAAACTAACATAACTATGGAAAGATCCACCATTTTATAGCTGGGTAAATCCACTATTTCGACTGGGCCATGTTCAATAGCTATGTTAGTTTACCAGAGGCTAATTGGGGCGGCATATACCAAGTTTATTTCAGCCTCCCCCCAAAACCTCACGGAAGAATAGTGAACTAAGTGAACTTCAGCGCCTGCACCCTGCCTTGTTCAGGGTTCCATCGCCGTTCAAATCAAAAATGCTGAAAATCAAAGACACCTTCAGAGTCCGCCGAATGTTGGGTAAATTGGTGCACAGGGGGGCGAGTGATTGGATTGATGGTGGGTAGATCTGTTGGATGTTTCCAGGGTTAGGATCATCCCTATGTAAACGGTGCTTCAGCTCCCATGTGGTTTTCTAAGATGATTCCATTAGTGTCCATCTTGGATTCCTTGCAATTTGGCATGTTGGGCGCTGGTTGCGTGTAGCTGTAGCCCCATTTATTGCAACAGATTGGGAAGTAAGGCTAGTCAGGTACCCATGCTTGATCCAGATCTAGATCCCATCTTGGAAAGTATCCACCGGAATATTCTGCTCAAAGCGTCGCCTTCGGAGAGAAAAAATTGCTACCCAAAAAGGCAGAAATCAACCCCAAATACCGACAAAATCATCAACCACCTGGAGTATTCCATTCTGTGCTACTTCCACATACCTATAGATGTCTATAACCACACGTTCCATAGTAAAGAAAAGTAAATTGAAAAAAACACTGTCACAAGCACCGGATCATCATCATCAAGCTGCTTCATCTAAAAAACTTAGAATGCTTAAGTTCACCTTCCATATTTATATACTTAATTTCTCCTTGGTTTCCCCATGGTTTTCATGGTCTTCATCCCCTCATCTCAAAATTCTCCCACCTTGGAGATGAAGCTCTGATTGGACGTGGCCACGGCCGCCGCAAAGAGCGTGTTGCCATCGCTGCGGCCCTTCTTGGGTTTCAGGGCCTGGAAGGCGGCGTCCGCTTTCGTGGTGTCGCCAAAGCATTGGAAGACATCCGTGAACTCCTTGGGACATCGGAGTGGACCGGAGGGGATCGGAGGGGGTTCCGAAGCAAAGGGGCTTGAAGCGAGGATGTTTGGAACACTTTGGGAGTGGGGGATATGGAAAATAGTGGAAAATCCATGAAAATCCATGAAAATCCATGGAAATCCATGAAAATCCATGAAAATCCATGAAAATCCTGGTGACATAGTGATGTTGATGATTTCGTTTCGATTTTTTTTGGAAGGTACTGTGGCCAATGTAAAATGGGGAGGTGTAAAATGGTGATGTTGGAAAATGTACTGGGGAGATATGTGGATATGTTTGCTACAATTACTAAGATGATCTAAGATGTGCTTTAATACTTTTAATGAGATATCAGGAACAACATGGGTTGGTCTGACAACGGAAAATAATGCTGAACCACCTTCGGTTGGATCTAGATATTGTGGGTCTAGTAGCTTGACTGATGGCTTCTCCATAAACCCACCTCAGTGAAGTCCAAGAGACGTGCCGACCCACCGTCTCGTCGCAATAGTCCAAGAAATGCTGGTAGGCATCGATAAGATCGGTCCGTGACCAAGACGCCAAGGGTTCTAGGGCTTTGGTCATTGCCGGAATCCCAAAGCCCCCTAGCAACCCTTTAGACCAGATTTTGCTGGCAATCTTTCCCATAGCAAAACCAGGACTACCGCCCCTAACTACTGCTGTTGTTCGGAGCCTGGACGGCAGCGCGAGTGAAACATGAATCACATTCAGACCACGAGGTAGAGATTCTGGAAAGATTTGGCCAGATTACGAACTCAGCTGTCTCCGACAAATCACTGAAACATCGGCTGCAAAACAGCAATGACACTATGACACTATGACCTATGAGTTACCGGTAGGTAGCTGCTTCAAGTCTCCATTGAGCTGAGTCCTTCAATTGCTCCAGAAGCGTGGTCGTGTCCCGGTCAAAGTGCTGCACTTGGCCCTCAGACGCTGCCCAACAATTCTGAACGTCAAAGGCAGAAACGGATAGAAATGGATGAAGGGACAATTAGACAGAACAGTTTCAGTAAGTCCGTGGTTATTTCCCGCAGAAAAACCATCACGTCAATAAAAGAACAGGCTGCCACTGGTGCACGGTGCACCGCCAACAACTTTGGCCACAGCTGGCAGCGGCTTCGCGGCTCCTTTTTCGGTTGGGTCACAGATTCTGCCACAGCACCATAGAAATCGGCCCGTATTGGATCACTGGAATCGCAGCATTTTCTGCGGGCTCAAACGTATTGGTAGGTGAACCTCAGAGGAAACGCGAGCGATCCCCAAGATTTTGATGTGCACATCTGATCATCAGACTTTCACCTTGAAGTGCTCTAGGTCAAAGTTAGAAGGGCTCAACTCACCAAGAAAATTGTTTGTTTTACTATCATGTGGTTGGAAAACTCTTTGTAGCTCCTTGGCTCCCATTTCATATGGATTTTATGTACAGCTCCTCGGCTCCCTAGTCACCAAATAGTGCCAAGTCGAGGAGTGCTTCTGGTACGGTTTCTCGATATATGCAAGATGATCAACAACCCCCTTGATTCGCCCAGTGTGACGATCACAACATTTTCATACTCCATGATCCTCAAAGAAATCTTTAATCCCCATAGATCTAAGATTCGCATGAGTTGTCATAAACCCATCCCCCATAGCCATCCCAACCCTGTCCCCCTGTGGACCCCAGTGGTCATTCTTCGCCATGGCACTTCCTGGCTTCTTGGAACTTGGTCATTTCCTTTCCACTTCCCATGAAGCCAACCCTGCCCTCAAGGGCATCCGGCACCTGGCTGTAAGGTTCACTGGGCCACCCCTTTCCTTGGAGGCTATCATTACAACGGGCACAGCGTCTGAGCTGAGCGCCTTGAAGATGGAATCCTTGGGCTTTCCTGACATGAAGCCGCACTTGCTGCGGGTGCTGGCCTTCTTA